TTTCTCCCTGCAGATTTCTTTGCTCTCTGCAGACAATGGTTCTCTTGTGTTGTCTCAAGGCTATGGGACACCCTCCTTCCTATCGAGCTTTTGAAGGTTCAGTACTTGAGGGATGAAACAAAACCAGACTCTTCTCCCACCATCCCGTCCAGTTCGGGGCTGGTTTTGCCATGTGGTGGCACTGGGGACATAGTTGGCCAAGCAACTTCATGGGGCACCAGCCTTTGTGAGATTGAGAAGATGACTCCAACGGAGCTATCATGATTGCAGAGATGGCACCTGCAGGGTGGGGGCCCCAACAGTCAGAGGGGAGAACATGAGAAGAACAAAATCTGCATGAACACTGGTTATTTCTATATAGAAATATAGATATGTGTTTTGGTGTCGGGAACTCCCGACCAGGAGCAGGACCCAAGGGCAGCTCCAACACGAGCAACTGCAATGAGCTGTACCCTGTGCTCCCACCAAGGGCTGGGCTTCAACCATCCCCACCTTCCAGCTCTGGGAAGGAACACAGATGGGGTTGCCCTGGCTGTGGCAAACAATCTTCCAGCCTGAGATGCTTCAGATCAAGCTTTTTGGGCTGCTCCTATTTGCCTTTCCTGTTGAAATTTCACTTTTAAAACATTAAACAGCTCCTCCTTCCTTCTAATGACACTGTGCTGCTTTCAAGTCTACTCCTGGGTAGAAGGAGGATGTGCTGAGATGTGCAACAAGGGCTTTTCTCAAAAACAACCCACACAATTCCACGTAAATTGATAAGAATTTGGAGCAAACAAGTAGATTCATTCTTTCTTTATCTAAGCCTGTCTCTACGCAGCAGAATTCAACATGAGTCTAGGGAGGGCTGGCCTCTGTCGAGATCACCCGAATCAGATTTATCGGTTGCAGATGATTTGAGGGGCAGAAGGGTGGCTATTGTTTGGATAAGCGAAAGGGCACACGAGAGCTTTTTGCAGCCTAGCTGAAGGGACTCCGTGCCTAGCTCTTGTAAAAATTACCAGTGCCACCTGGCAGCGATGAGAAGTATTGCTCAGGGTTCATCGGCAAGGTACAGAAGTCTTTAAACTGGATTATTAGGGAATGGGTGTTATAAAGGGTCAATCCATGCATGTATTGGAGGGTAAAGCTAAGAGCCGTTAACGAAGGTTGGGAAAGGCAAGGAATGCTCATGGGCAGCTGCTCAGCATCAATCCTCGTCTCTCAGTCCTTCCCAGATTTCCCCAACTCAGCCGAAGATGCATCCCAGCAGGAGTCCAGGATCATGGATGCAGATCTGGTCTTCCACCACGTCTTGCAGGAACAGGGACCGGGTGTGAGCCCTCCAGATCAGCACTTCAGCACAGAGGTTCGGCTCACCGTCAATTCACGGAGAAGGAGCCTGGAAAGAAATGCAAAACCTGGTAGGTATCTCTGGCCAGGCTCCTCTTGTACCCTTTTGAGGACAAGTGGCGGCAAGAGTTGGAACCAAAATGAAAATGTCTTTGATTTTTTTGAACAACCTCAAAGCCACCAAAAGGCTTGAAGGTCAAGACAAAATATCCATCTGCAAATGTGATTATTTTTTTTTTCTTGTGAAAGAATTGGCTGAAGTTATTTAGTTGTAATGGGCTGGTCTTGCTCCCAACAAACTCATTTCTCAAAGCCAGAGGCGTTGTTCTTAAGGTGTCCATCCCTTTCATACCTGCCAGTCTTGTCCAGGGTAAATGGACACTACTAGGAAAAAATGGGATGTGTTTCCTTCTGTAGGCAGCAGTAAATGAGTTCAACTCCTTGCTAAAGGTCGTTGTGGGTGCAGAGTTTTGAGTTTTAAGAGGCCTTGAACTGGAGTAAGACTGGACAAGAACTGGAGGCAAGTGCTGGGGGTTGCTGAGTAGCATCCTTGTAGCTGGACTGGGTGCACTTGCAGGAGACAGGATCTGTGATTCCGTGAGTCTATAAACACCCTAGCAAACAACAGTGCAGAATTTGCCTTTTACTACGACTTTTTCCTGCTGTGACAGCAGAGCTAGGATTGTTGGATACTGGCTTGTGCACATGCAGCTGCAGAATATATCCTTCTGGGTCTCCAGCTGCTTGGCTGTATTTTCAGGGCAACTAGGAAATCCTGGGGGTTTACTGGCCACTGTTTAATTTAAAGTTTTTTATTAAATTAAAGGGCTTTTTACTGGGCATTGTTTAAATTCCCACTCTGAGCCCCCCTGGAGCGACACAGCAGCAGGGCCCTCTTGCTTGTTAATTCCATTTTAACTCATCATTTTTGTCTCATTTGAAATTCTCATTTAAAAAGGAGACTTTCTACTCTTTTGAATGCTCCATCCTAGACTGATACCTCTCTAGCTTGAGCTAAACATCTTCCAGCACCTGGACAGTGCATGAAGGGCAGTGTCCAAACCTGGGTTCCAACCAAACTTGGAAGGCAATAGCAGTTTTTGATGAGGGCCCTGGCTGTTTTGGGGCATGAGAGAGCAGGGATGATGCGCCCACCGCTATCTCAGCACCGCTGTGTGGGACCCTGCTGAGTTAGGTGCTGTGCGGCCACAGCCGATGGAGCTGCAGCCTGGTCCAGTGTTGTCATCCTTAACCTTGGTCTCTCTTGTAGAAGCATCTCCTGCCAAAGGATAGAAAGTGTGATCTGGAAAAGTTCCTCGATATTTGTTTGTCTTAAGGATGGGGCGAATGTCCAGGAAGGAACTCAAGGGTGTGAATCTCTTGTACTTTTGTGCTGAAGCCTTCTCTCTCCAAAGGCAGTCCCTGGAATGAGCAGTCCCGGTCCCGGTACTCTGCAGATATGGACACCTCTGATGAGGACATGAAGGAAGTCCAGTTCCCTGCCTACCTGCCCCATCACCCAAAACGTCGGAACAGAGCCTCCTCCCAGGAGAACATCAGCCACTCTGGGAATCAGGTACCAAACAGCTGTTGAACCTCTTGAGACCAAGTCTGTGGCCAAGCCTCTCTTGCCATAAACGGCACTTGTTATCTGCGAGGTTTGGTGCCGGTGCTTCCCAAGTGCAGGTCCAAGAGGGAGCAGAGTGGGTCCCAGATCCCTGTAGACTTGAGATCCCTCCTCCTCTTCAGCTCAGGAACTGAAGAAGCTGGGGCTGTGTCCACTTTGCATTGCCAGAGCAATACAGCGGGTCTGTGGGATGACCGAGGAGCTTGGCTCATCTCGGTGTCACGTCACGGTTGTGTGGCACCAGTGAGATGAACGCCCAGGCCGTGTCCTGCCCTCCATGTTGTGAGGGACCTGCCAAGGCAGTCATGAAATGGGAGCAGGACTGAGAAGGTGCCTTTAAGGCTCCTTCATTCGTTAAGATGAGGGAGAGCAGATGTTTCTCTACCCTTTTAGGATGAATGCAAAGCACGCTGGAGCTCTCTGCATCCTCTCCCAGGTCCAACTTCCAGCCCTTCCACTTTTGCAGTCATGGCAAAGAGAAAATTGGGCACTGGCTGGTGCTTCACTCTGCCCACCCTGCCTTCGTTGTTGCTAATTTTCCAGCTTGTCCATATTGATCTGCGAGTTACCTATGGTTTTCTGTGTCCCCCAAAAGTCTTTCTTCAATTGAATGTGCTGGTGCTTTGTCATCAGATGGAGGTTTGGAGAGGGATATTTAATAAGCATCAAGATCCTTTTCTTCTTTTGCAGTGTGTAGTGTCCCTGCCCTGGTAGGACCGGGTCGGGACGACCTGTCACGTATCTCTCCTGACTGATGATAATAGGGGGAACAGTCTAGAGAAGGGTGTCAGAAAGGCTGCGAGCTTGTGTTTTAATTGTCGGGCAAGGATCTGCTGTTCCTGATGCCACCTTTGCAACGGTGGGTGGTGAGAATGGTAAAGCATTCCTCGGATCTCTTGAGCAGCAAAAGACAGGGTGATGTTTGGCTACAGGTACACGGGGAGAGCCAGCAGTTTCTGCTCACAGCCGGTAATTTTGCACACCCTGGGCTCCCCTTTGGGTAACCGGTGGGGGGAATCTGTAACCACAACCATCCCTTGGCACCACGCTTCATATGCCTGCGTAGGGAAACCTTTTCTTTGCCTTTTACTTCTCTCGGCACACGTTTTAATGAGTAAATGCCATTCCTTTTTCAGTCAGCAGTAAAAACATGGTACTGAGCGTCCTTAATGAGGCCATGGTACGTTAGGCATGAAATCTGCACCTTGCTTTGCAGTGGGGAAATGGGGCCAAATTCCTACCAACGTTTCAGATGACTTCCTCTTTCAGCTTTTGCTTCAGGGCAGTCCGGCGTGATTTGTGGTTCGCTCCATCAGTCGCACCAGTACGAAGGCTGCTGTGGAGCCTTGTCACTAATGGTTGTGAGACATCTTCTCACTCCCAATTTAACCCCATTTGCTCTTATGCCAACATTGTTCGTTAGCTTAAATAGCTCTTCATCCTTCCTGCCCTTTGTGCTGCTGATGTTTACAGCTAGCAACCGTCCTCCCACCGAGCCTTCTCCTCGCCCAGCAGGAAGAGACCCGGCTCTGTGCTGGACCATTAACTTCAGAACGATGCACATGTGCATTGGTGTTGGCCAAGGAGAGGCCAGGTACAAGCCCAAAGAAGAGAAGAAGACAAGAAGATCCAGGTTTCGGTGCTAGCCAGCTCTGTTGTATGGGCAGAGCTGGAAGAGGTTCAGATGAGGCTGGTGTCCATCCTCTTGTCCTGAGATTGGAGGAGATGGAGGGACTGAGGCTGGCAGGAGGGCAGAGACAGACCAGGAAGGATTTGGGACAGCAAACAGCAGACTGCGGTCTCCTAAGCAGTGAAGCGGTGGCTCTTGAGTTGCTTACAGGCACTTCCAGGGTATGTCATGTAGCCATCATTATGGCTTCTGGGGTATCCCAGCCCCTGATGGGACATCCCAGGCGACAGCGAGGACAGCTGCGTACGACTGGTCACTGTGGCGCTGCATTTCTCAGAAGCTGTGCTCTTTGGCCATTCAAGATGTTGGCCTGTGGAGTGTATGGTCCAGAAACGTGTTTGTTAACCCCCATTAACGCTATATTGAATCCCATAGCCTGGCTTCAAAAGCGATGCTTTTGTGGTAGACACCTTGTTGGCATCTGAAGGTTTCAAGAGGTGGAGAGCTCAGCCCTTTGCCCTGCATCACTTTGACCCCACAAATGAAAACCCTCTTTCCTAAAACTGCCTTCAGTGCAAGTTTGTCAAAACATGTTTCATCTGAAAATTGCTTTTTGTTTAATTCTGGAGAGGATACACTGTTCAGTCCCAAATACAAGAAATTTAACTTTTCCAGTAATGAAAGCAGAGGCCGTTCCCTAGCACTGTGAGTCCAGGAGCTGAAGGTGTTGGAACAAAATTAAAAAACCAAAACACTATTTAGAAAAACTCTTAAACTGACGAGACATGAAAAGAAGCCCTGAACTGGTAATTGTGTAGGTCTTTGCATTTAGGTCTTTAGAAGCCAGGTAGGAACAGGACCAAGCCACAAGGAATAGCACCAATTTACCAAGTTTCTCCCCAAAAGCCATTCTGTTGGACCTCAAGGGAGCTCAGTGGTCCTGGATTCCCAAAGCTTTGATCCTGTCTGGCTCCTCTTCTTTACATAAAGTTTCTTGTTAGAGGTGTTGGGTATTTGAGCAACTGAAAGCAGCACCTCTGGTAGAGCAACCCCTCTTCCCTCCCCAGCAGCAAGTGATAGTTTACCCTAACTGATGTCCTCCTTATAGGCTGTGGTTTAAGTCTCTTTAAACATTTAAACTTCAAACTTTAAATGTTTTAAGGCAGAGCACCATTCGCAAGCCTTTGTCGCGCAGCGAGCAGTGCAGGGCGGTCCACCCTAATGGGGTGACCGCCATCCCTTAAAACCAGCCTCGCTTGAGAAGGAGAAACGAAAGCAAGCTCTTCAGCTCCTGTAGCCCATCAACACCAGACGGTGTGCTATGCTTTGACCTCTCCCAACCTCTGCGTTATGGAGACAGGGTAGTGCTGGCGCTGAGTTCATCACCATCTCTTCCTCTGAAGCTGATGGCCCATCACAGGCTTCTCATTGTCACCGGGAGCGATGCAAGAGTCAGGCTTTAAACAGCCCCGAGAAACCACTTAGAGATGGATTGGATTGCTTCCTGCCTGGGAGTTTAATGCTGCTTAAAGGTGCATTCGGTTCGGGATGGTAATTACAGCGCGCGGCTCTCCAGAGTGTCGGGTTTTTATATTCATCTTCCTTTAAGCAGATGCAATCTCTCCAAGCTGTTGTGAGGATCTAATTAATTGAACACTAGCAAGCACAAAAAAAAACCCTATGTGAGAGGATGGAAATGTTATAAAAACAAAGCCAAGCCCTCGCATCTCTTTGTTACTGCATTTACTTACTGCATTTGCTGCTCGTCCCTCTTTGAATGGGAGGCAGGCACTCAGAACAGCAGTGATGTGGGAGGTAGTGTTATAAAACGGGCGATATTTCTCATCATTTGTTTGGATCAAAGGAGAAAGACTTGTGGGTTGTTTTTTTTTAAGAAAGCAAAATTTCAATTTCTAAAAGGAAAAAAAAAGCTTCCTTTTAATGTTTTCAGGGATTTAACCACAGAAGTTTGTTCTTGGCTTTTGAACATAGAAAGTAACTTCTTTTTGATTTTCAGGATTTTGTCTCTCTTCTCTTCTCTTCATTCCCCTTTTTTTAGTTGGAAGAGTGAGAGAAGAGAGGGGCAAGCATCTTGGTAAATCAATGCATGGAGAAGTCAAACAATTTCAAAGTGCATTGGGGAAAACGCTCAGTTTTAGTTTTTTCTATCTGCAGTTTTTCATGGGAAATTCTTCCTTTTTTCCAGCGCTGTATTGGCAAGGGCTGATGGAGTAGTAGCTACTTGAAAAATGTGTTTAGAAGGAAGTGCAAATTGATGTTGACTTGAATTTGGGGCAGCATGTGAATGATGGCAAGACAAATGGCTTTGTTACAGCCCGATGCTTTTGTCTCGACAGGGGACACAACAGGGCCGGTGATGCGGTGTTTTGTCCGCTGCATCAACGCTACTGATGCTTTGCTGGGAATTGGGATGTGCTGGGTACTCGGCATCGCTTTGGGTTTTCCAGACCTGAGGAGAGGCTGTCCACCTCCTGGAGCTCACTGACATATCCAGGGCCATTTTTTAAAGACATTCTTTTTTAATGTCCTTTAACTCAGCCCACGGTGATGGTGTCATTCTGCTTGCTTTCTTCTGCTGGTTGCACTGTTTTTTCACTGTCCTGGCAGCGGTGGCTGGTCTGTTCTCTACTCCCTTTCTCTCTCTCTCTCTCTTTCCTTTCCTCTAGATTCATGAGCTCAACAAACGCATGTCTGCAATTGAACGTATGCTGAATCGCTTGGAAGAAAAAATGCTGCACCGCTTGGAAGAAAAAATCCTGGTGCGCTCTGACGAGGTAACCGGGCAAAGCCGGGGCATTCTCGGCAGGGAGAGAGCGTGGGATGTGCTGGTCCCTTCCCCTTGTTGTTGGAGGGGCTCCTCGGAAACAGCCAGCATTGCAGGGAGAAAGACAAAATGACTTGAGTTGTTCGAGTTTAATCCTCTGTTTTGGCCTTGCAAGCTCTTCCTTAGTTCCAAGTGATGGAGCGCCTTAGTAAACGTTGCATGGCAGGACAGAAACAGAAGTGAATTTAACCCCCCGTGCAAGCTTGTGCCTTCCTTGCCCCTCCTGCACAAGGAAAACTGGGTTTCAGGTTGATACTCTATGAAACGCCAGTCTCAGGAGTATTGTTAAGTGGGTGTCGGTACATCCGCAGAGCTGTGACAGCTCATTTGAAATCATGGGAGACTCAATTAGTCCATGTGAGAAAGTCACCCGCTTATTGTGAAGATGAGATCTGAGTCAAGAAGGATTTCTATATCTCTTCTGAACTGCCCTTGTCTTACTACGCCATCAAGCTTGGAAGGAAGCAGCTAAATTAAGTTAAAGCTGGGCTGCGACGTAGAATCTGTGGATACTTAGGTCGCTTAACATTGATTTGGGGTTTCTAATTTTAGACTATGTACTCTTCTTTTCCTTTATGTGAACCCATCACCACGATGCTCACCCAACCACCCACGAGCTGCTCTGGTGGCTGATGGCTCAGTAGAATGGACAGTCATAATTACAGAGAAGTCCCCTAAACATAGACGAAACAATGCAATTTCTTCATTTTTTTTCTAAAATTCATGTTGGGGATGACCAGGTTTGTAATCATTCAGGGTTTCTCTCAGTAAATCTGACCAAGGGAGTAGGAGATGTGCATGTTTGCAGGTCCCCATGCTTTATTCCCACATCTAGGGCAGATCAGAGTAGAGGCAACGGGTCTAAACTGCTGTGGGACAGGTTGAGGACAACTATTAAGCAAAGCTTTCTAGCAGAAAGGATAGCGGAGCCCGGGAATAGGTTGCCTGGGAGAAAGATTGCCTGCTGCAGATGCCGTTGTTCAAGGTTGTTAAGATCAGCTTAAACAAAAACCCACCAGGTACGACACAAATAATTGTACTCCTGTCTTAACGCAAGGGACAGAGTTCAGTAACTTCTGGAGATCCCTTCAAGCGCCTGGAAGTTTAATAGGATTCTTCTCCAGGTGCCATGAATTGCACTTAATAACAGGGTCGGGTGGACATATGCCATCCATCTATGGCATGGAAAATTTGCTGCGTGTTTTCTCATTGCAAGTAAGATTACTTAGAGGGTCCGAAAGCTACCTTGGGGAGTGGTAGTTCATGTGGCTGCTTCCCTCACCCTGGTCTTTGGGTCGCTGTGATCTCTGCCTTCAGAGCCACCAGCCCACGCCGTGGTTCCTAAGGAAAATGCGGTGATTTGGGGCCCCAAATCCCCCTTTTTAAGTCAGGGAAAAAGGCAGTTTTTCTCAGGGAAAGACAAGCAGGTTCTGGGTGCAGGGAAAATGGGAACGGAGGTTCTTTAGATCAAGGCTTTGTATTGCTCAGTGTGGAGCTGGAGCGCAGCTCGCTGGGCTCTGCTGCTGCCCTGGGCGGTCTGACCGCCCCTTGTGAAAATGGGTGCGGAGAGGGGACTTGAAGTCCCCTCTGCAAAGTCCGTCTGTGGTCGCACTCCTGGAGCTCCTCTGCTGACCAGTCTTGGCGAGTGTGTCTGGACCTGAGCAGACCCCATTGTTCACCACAACTCCCTTCTTCTGCTCCTTCAGTCTCCAGCCCCAGGGTCCCAACTTGATCCCGATGCTGAGGAGGAGGAGTTGAAGAGGAAGCTGGAGGAGTTAGCCAGCAACATCAGCGACAAAGAAGTCTCTTCTGAAGAGGAGGAGCGTGAAGGAAAGAAGAGAGCAAAGAAACCGGAGATGAGTTCTTCCAGTGATGACATGGCCAGAGATGCTCGAAAGGTAATCTGTCCCCTCCCACCCACACCGTTCTCATCTCCATCTGTGATTCCTTCTGCTCTCGGTGGTTTATGGCTTACACCATGATCATGCAACTCTTCTTCTGTCCCACACCTCCACCTCGATGCCTCCCAGTGCTGTGGTGTGTCTGACTTAGCGCCCTGCTTTAACAGAGCATCAAGGGATAGCGAAGTCCCAGGGTGTTGGATCTGGACCTTTCTCTTTGTAGGCTCTCCCAGTCTCATCCAAGAGTCAAAAGTAAAGTCTTTTAGAGATCTTGTGGGCTACTACCTGTCATGGAGAGGTACACGACCTCCACATCTGTTTAGAAGAGTTGTCTCGGGATCTGGATGGCATTATGGAGAAGAGAGTCCTGGGGTGGGAGAAGAGCTTGGTGATAATTTAGGACTGGCAGCCTTTGTCAGGCACCTACTACAACCTGAAAAGTCTCTTCCAGACCTGTCAGCGGTCCTGAGTCCCAAAATCCGTGGTCCCGCTTCCACACTGCTAGGTCAGCATCTCCTGTACCAAGAGCACCGTGCTGGCTCCTGTCCCCTACTGAGTGGTGCGTAATCCATGGGGATGTGGGTCAGGGACATGAACAGAGATCACAGCATCTATGCAGCCCCGTTCCCATCACCCCAGAGGATCCCTCACCCCCATGGCCCAGTGCAGCTCTGATTTATCCCCCTGCCTGCTGGGTGCATTTCGGAGATCTGCTTTCCCCCTGGGTATCCCCGTGGCAGGGTTGGAGAGGCATTCGTCTGTGTGCAGCCTGGCAGGGCAGAATTGCTTTCTTGGCTGGAGAAAGCAGACAAAGGTACCTTGCCCTGGTGATGAGCAACCGGTGACAGCCCAGGTGACTCAGAAAAAAAGGGAGATCTTGCATGTCTCCAGCTGTGCAGAGCATCCCGAGATGGTCCATTAGCATAACATGGAGAGGTCAGCGTTCCTTGTTGGGTCTCCAATGGTTTCTTTGTTCATCCCCTCCCTTCTGCCTTGGCCATGGGTGAGGTACGTCTACGTCTGCTCCGACACATCTGTTGTTGGCAAGGGTGGCAAAGGAAGCGAGTGGAGGCTGTGCTGCCCCTCTTCTCTCCTGCAAAGCTCCTTTGGTCCAAGGTTGTGGAGACTTTCATGGTGCCACAAGGCTTCTCTTAATGTACTTTTGTTCCTCAGCCTCACAAGGCAAAACTTGGCTGCTGCTGGGCTCGGGGAGCGCGGCTGTGTGTACGTACGCGGTGCACTTAGTGGGTCCGTGTCAGGTATGAGTCTCTATGTAAATTGTGTTGTAAATCTCTACATAGATTTTACAGCTCTATGTAAAATCTCAGGATTAGAACAAGCGACCGGTCCCAGGACTGCTTCCCTCGTGGTTTTGGTTCCTCAGCCTCACAAGGCAAAACTTGGCTGCTGCTGGGCTCGGGGAGCGCGGCTGTGTGTACGTACGTGGTGCATTTAGTGGGTCCGTGTCAGGTATGAGTCTGTAAATTGTGTTGTAAATCTCTACGTAGATTTTACAGCTCTATGTAACATCTCAGGATTAGAACAAGCGACCAGTCCCAGGACGGCTTCCCTCATGGTTTTGGATACCATTTGCTGTGCTCTCACTGCCACTGGCTCAGCGGTGCATTGCATCCTTACCAAAAGCCTCCTTTATTGCCTCCTTTTTACTCAAAGCCACTTTTTAGATGATTGTTGCAGCCAGGCTTAACTACCTACTGCTCATGGGTTGAACGATGGTGCATCTTCTTAGTAACCATTTCCAGTTAATGGCAGCACAGGGGACAAGTGGTAACTCGCCAAGTCAAGGTAACTTAATTCCTGCGTAAGCTGCTGACCTGCAGCAGACAGAGGCTCAAAGTCTGACTTGCGCTGAGGAACACGGAGATGTTAGTGGGGTATCAGTGTCAGCTTCTTGATTCTCACAAAATGAAGCCTGGATTCTCCAGATTTGCTACTTTCTTTGACCAAAACCCAGCTATGAGGTAGGGAGGACGCAGGCAGGGTTGTTGTCTCTCGGTGGGGTCATGCAGGCAGGTAACACAGGAGCTATATGACAGCTCCTAAGCAAAGAGAGACCCAGCTGGGTTGCAACAGCTCAAGCAGGACCAAATCTGAAAAGTAAAACAAAATTTAGCTTTTTTACTTCATGGTAACACTCAAATCCCTTTGTGCGGTATTGAGGTAGAAATGCCTGCCGTGCTGGAGATGGACCACCCTTGGTTAAAGGCTGAGTCAGCGTGGATGTTTTTTAACAATAACTTTCCCAATACCAGATCCAGGCTTGAATTTTACATGAATCTGAGTTTGGGTTTATGCAAGTCTCCTCTCCAGTCAGGGGGGAGTCTTCTAACTGGGGAACTCTGCGATGAAAGCACACGGTCCTAATGGAAAATGTAAAAAAACTCAGCTGTACTGTGAAGGTACCATAAAATGATAAAAATATCAGCTGGACTGAGTTAGCTAGTCCTCTGCAGGACGGCTCGCCTGGAAATATGTGCAGTTGTAAACACAACTGTTTGTCGCTGGTGCATATATCACCCCCATCTCCTTGGTTTCTAGGGAATTATCAGTTGAGAGAGAGATGATGAGTTTCTTCAGTCTATTTTTACATGTGCTTAGTGCCTTATCAAGCGAAAGGCAGCACTTAGGAGCGTTATTGCCATCCGTGCTCCTTGGGCTGGGAAGAGAGGACGTTAGTCCCAAGTTCTGGCAGCGTGGCAATACAATACAATAATTTTATGGGGTGGGTTTGGCTGTATTTTTTTTTCTTTTGCTACAAACTTAAGGAGTTATTTGTATCCGTGCTCAGGCCTGCTGAAGTGTAAAGCAATATTCTGCAATTAGATCTTAACTGCTGAGTAACTGAGTGGCCTTCAGGTGGCCAGGTGCTGCTGCTGGTAGACAGCTCCGGTGGCACCGCTTCCAGCGAGCGATGCATCCCTCGATAACCTCTTTTCCAAGCCTTTTGAGATGACTTCTTTTGTCACAGCCATCCTCCAGAAAGCACGAGCTGAGATCAAAGCTTTGCTTTAGCCACGCATCCGTCTCCAGTGGAGAGCCCTTCAGGAACGGCGTAAGCCCTTTAATTACCGCTTCTCCATCTCTCTACAACTCCTGAAGGTCTGATGCCCCTTTCACCCACCGACTTGCGCTGTTTTGTACGCCACGTTAAAATAACGTCCTTATGTTGTGTGTTTGTGTTTTTTTTTTCCCCCCCCACTCCTACCCTCCGCTTTGGCTTTGCTGGGTGTTCGCAGAGGTCGTCGGCTCAGGCTTTGAGCGAAATCACGGCCAAAGTACTGAGAGCCATAAACGCCACGGAGAAAGCGGCGTGTGAGTCGTTGCATGGAGAGAGCCAGTGCAACGGCGGCTCTGCCCTCCCCACGGGACAGCATCCCAGCCTGGGAGATGGGAAAGAGGTGGCCGAAGCGTATCGTGAGCTTGAAGAAAACGTAAGGTTCACGAGAGCTTTCTGCAAGCAGGGAGGGCATGGAGGGAGGTGGGAATACAGAGGAAACCCCTCAAAATTTCTTGTTAGTGGGTAGGTCAGCATTAAAAGGATGGACACCACAGAGTCCGGTGTTGTCTGACGGTGGCCAGGGCTGTCTTACGAGGGAGATGGCACAAGAGCAAGTGTGGATGCTCTGTCTTGTGGCTTCCCTTGCCTCCGTTCCTGGTTCCCCCTGGGTGAGTGCCAGCGAGACAGGACAAGCGTGGCCCCCAGCTTGCTGTAGCATCGCTTTGTTGACCTTCAGCAGTCTTCTGCTACAGCTGCAGTAAAAGCTTTCGTTTCGCTTCTCTTTTGGTTCCTCCCCAGCGCTGCGTTTCATTAAGGCTTTTATGAATGAGGAGAGCAGGACCTGGCTGTTCGCTAAGGCTGGCCCATGCCTGGGGCTGATGGGCTCATGCGGGTGATGAGTTTACACCTAGAGCATTAATCCCCTGCTAGGTTTGTGTGACACTGAAGCACCGACAGTTGTTTTTTTTAGCTACTGTAAACCCGTATGAATCGATTCTCCGTGGGAAATGGATTGCATCCACAGTGCCGTTTACCAAGCTCCGAAGAAACGGTTCAAAGATAGGGCAAAGAGTCACATCTCCACCTGGGTGGTTGGGTTTTGTTGTCAGAAACATCGCATGATGGGGAGTAGGGTTTTATCACACACTCTGTGGCTCACCTCTCATCGTGGAAAGCTTATACATAAAAGCAGGGAGCTGCTGGGAGCAGAGTGTGCTCAGAAACTCACCACCTGGCTGGTTTCTGACCAAACGCAGCATCCCTGGGAAGAGCAGTGGCTGTGTGAAGGTTTTGAGGTTTCCCCTCTCCCAGGAGAGGAGATAGGGCTGGGAAGGATGTGAACTTTTGGCTTAGCGCTGCTGCCGTCAGCGGCGGGGTTGGGGCGAGGCGATCGGTAGGCGATGGTCCCAGGAGATGGGAGCTCATCCTGCTGTTCCCTCAGGGCCCCGGCTGAGTCACGGCTGGCTCGCTGCTCTGTTCTCCAAGGCATGCCATCCGTTGGGAAAGTTTGATGGCCCAACAGCAAATCGTGTCCCTGTGACTCACAGGTCTGAGCAGCTTCATGGATAACACTCGCAAATGTTTCCAGTCTGTTATGGCCCCAGGTTTTGCACTGGGGTGGGTGGGACCTGTGGGGCGTGTGATTTGGGTGGATGCTCGGTACTTCAGTGGGTGCAAGGGACTCGTGCCAGGCAGTTTTGCACAATACCCAGGGTAGAAAAAGCAGAGAGGGCTGGAGGAGCAGGAATTGCATTAGCAGTACCAAGATTTTGGGATCAGGCAGCAAAACAGCAGCCACAACCTGTCTGATCATCTTATGTGATTGCATCCTGATGTGTTAATGTTTCCTAAACTGCCTTGCTTGGACTCACATCCTTGTAGTAACCCAGGAGGGTGACAGGAAAACCAGTGGTTTTATTGGGATAGGTCCTTTCACCCTTCTTACTTAAAAGCAAAGGCAGCGTGTTGCTTCCCGTAGGCACCGTGCAACCCCACATTCACCCTGCTGCCACGCTGGGCTCCATTCCCAACACACCTTTGCTGGGGCCCTCGGCCAGAATTGTTTCGCCATATTCAGAGCAATTCCTGGGCAAAATCACCTTTTGCAGGGGTCGGGTTGGTTAACTGCCCAAGGCCAAACTCCCAAATCCTGACCCTGCTCCCAGACAACCCAGCAGCACAGGCACCCTTAAAAAAGACCAAGTGGATTTGGGAAGTCAGTCAGTCTATCTCCTTCCCAGCTTGCTGCAACCGCGGGACATGGCAGCCTGGGCTGGTTTGCAGGTACCTGCCTCCCCTCTGAGCACAGGGCATGAAGGTGTTGATGCTTCTCGAGTAGGTCACCAAGTTTTGGTCCTTCCTGTCTTCCCACTGAGCCTTTTACCACTTTGCCCAGTTGGTAATTACTCTCAAAAAGCCCAGGGAAGGGAGGAAATTAAATAAAAAACCCTACCAGAGCTGACTGGTATTGTCTGTGCTGCAAGGCAAGAAGGCAGTCGTAAAATAGTGGCAGGAGCTGTTGCGTCTGGGGCTGCGGTCACACCAGGAGAGGAGAAATCCAGGGAGGTTAATTCTGCAACGTGGTTTGGTTTTTTGTTTTTTGTTTTTTTTTTTTTCTTTTTGGTATTTCAGGTATACCTGACTGCTGGGAAGACCTACCGGCTTGAGAAGACCCTGAAGGAGCTTGAGGAAGGGGCTCAGCACAGCGGCACTACCGACTCGGAGCTGTCGGAGCTGGAGGACAAAGTGGCCTTGGCAGCCGCTCAGGTGCAGCAGGCGGAGAGCGAGGTGAGGGCTTGGCTCTGAGAGCTGCTTTGCCCGGCCAGTGATGGCAAATGAAACCCGGTGATGGATCCCCTGGCCACCATCTGTATGTTTGTTGGTTTGTTTTTTTTCCCCTCTCTAAAGATATCGGACATTGAATCTCGAATTGCGGCTCTGTCCGCTGCAGGACTGACGGTGAAGTCAATGGAAAAGGCGAGGAAGAAGTCGGTCGGACAGGTGAGTGTGGAGGACGGTGGGTATGAGGACTCCCAGCCCTGGGATGTAGGTGCTCCCCTGGCTTGTCGCTGCCATCCCTGGGTGCTGAGAAGGGCTGCCTGGCTTGCTGAGCTGTGCCCAGCTCCCTCCCCGCTACCTGGTCCTCTGCCCCGAGAGTGGGTGTCTCGCTGCGGATGGGGGAAAAACACTGCATCAAGGGGAGGATTTTGTATTTGGGGATTGGCGCTCTTCCAAGGGCTGCAGGGAGAGCACACAGGGCTGCTGCGTGCACCACAGCCTGGACCCAACTCCTCCATCTCCATACCAATTTCTATAATTGCGATCTATCAGGCAGAGTTTGCTGCCGTGGCAGTATGCTACCTCGTTTACTCACCTTAGGATCAGCCTAAGCTAAACAAAAGAGGTGAAAATGCACAGACAGGCAGATGGAGTTGTCTGCCTCATCTGCAGCCCCAGAGAAACCTTTGCCCTTCCTCTGCCCGCAGGCTGCCTGCCTCCACTCTCCTGGTCCCACCAGCAGCAGTCCAGGGGAGTCTTTGGATGACGTTAAAGTGAGTATGTGTTTGATCTGTGCCGGCCAGTGCATGTGCCATGGCATTAAAGCTGGAGACAAGCAGGGTCTCTAGGGAACTGCTTTCAAAGCGGTGGCCTCGGAGGGGACCTCTGTCCCCCCATCCCCTTCCCTACAGCAGGCTGCTCCCCTTCTCTTGCAGGCGATGCCCAGACTGCAGGAGTTCAGGATGAAGTTCAACAGTCCCCTCAAAATCACCGGTAAGGACCACAGCTCTGCCCAGGGGAGATGGGGGCCTCTGGGTGGATGGGTTGGGCTTTGGGGGACGCTCGGTTCTCTCTCTCTGCATCCGGTTGTGTGTCTGCATTGGGGGTTCCCCTTCCCTCCGCTCGTGGCCCTCCTCTTAGGACGGCCACCGTTACCCTGCGGTGGGTAACTTAGAAAGGAGGAGGCAACTGGTGGGATCGGGGCCAGTGATGGGAGAGCAGAGGTCAGGCTGAGTTGGCTCAGTCCTCCAAGAACCAGGACTTTCTCCACAGCCTTGGGGGCCTGCCACCCCAGAGTCCAGGGAGACGTCTGCGTTACTTCATTTGCGGCATCCTGTTGGCTGTTAGACCTCAAAGCCTTGCTTAAGCCCATCATCTCTTCTGATAGCAATTTCTTCCTCATTTACTCGTCTTGGGGAAGGTATCCTTGACCCTGTTGCCTATCCACCTTAGCTACTGGTCTCAGGTGGGGGGCAAGGAGCCCTCCACAGCCCAACTATGACAAACAGTAGCTTGGGAGTGCTTTGAAGCCGATGGTGACCTGAAACTTGGCACTGCAGCTTGTGTGGTAGGGGGCAATCGCTGGAAACGTTTCGTCCGGACCGATATCAGCAAGCCCCATAAGGAAATGACTTTTCTGTTTCTCTCTTATCTCGCCTCATAAGCTTAAAGGCAGAAAGAATGGCTCTCCTTCCCGATAATGGAAGATGAAGGGGGGAAAGATCATTTAATGCAGAGGAGGAATCACGTTTTCCCCGGGCATGCAGACAATTAACAGTACCGTTTCCCAAGCTGAGGCTGGTAGGTGGAAAGGTCCCTTCTGCTCTTGCTGAGGAGGAGTCATCTGCTCTCCTTCCTGCAAAGGGCAGGCAGATAAAGGCAGCCCGGGGGACACGTCAGCCCTGCACGGAGATAGAGGGATGTGCAATTGGGACAGACGTCACCAGGCGAGCTTAATCCTCTCTGCCTGGGCTGGGCGATGGGACAAGTCGGTCTCTTGACCACCTTCTCTGCAGGTCAGTGACTTGCAAAGTTGGGCCTGCAAAGGTGCAGCTGGCAGAAGTTGGTGGCAGGGAAGAGGAGATGACATAGCAGGTCAAGAGAGAGTCATAGGCTTGGGCGGTGAGAGCTCCTTGCAGGCTGGGCTTTTGCTGTACCACGGAGTTTCCCAGAGCAGAGGTCTCGGCAGTTGACCGCTGGCAGACTGACCCAGCTTGCAGGGTGCTCTTGAAACCCAAGTAGCAGCAGCTTTTTTCTCCCTGTTGTCAAAGGTCTTCCCACCACCCTCCTGAAGAGGGAAGGGCAGTGATGATGCATCCAAAACCACAGCCAGCGGGGGATAGCAAAACCCAAGTGACGGACACCTCTAGTGAGGCAGATGAGGACCTGCTGCCCATCTCTTTTCTCTTACTACAGGTCTTGACGACTCCTTTGACCGCAACTCTGTTTACCGTGGCTCCCTGACACAGAGAAATCCCAATGGGAAGAACAGGAGAGTGGAGAGGCTCTTTGCGGTATGAACCCAGCCATTCAGGAGAGTTGCTGTCCTGGTCTCCACATGGGATCTGTCTCCCTGGGCTTGCACAGAGGGATCTATCCCTCCCCATGCTCTCCTTGAGCCAGCGGAGCCCCCAGCTCTCAGCATTGGTCTCACCATGCCGGCTGGTGAGGGTCGGCACATCTGGGCATCGCCCCTTGAGGTCTGGGATGTCATAAGCCCCTGGGCAGGGGGACCAAGTAAGAAGTACGTCTTTGAATTCCCACTGCCTGCATGGTCCATGGGATGGGGCAGGTCCTCGCTCCATGTGGTGGCAGGTGGAGGGGACAAGGAGTACGCTGGCCTCATCAGCTGGGGTGGCACAGGGTGGTGTGGGCATGGCGGTGACTTGAGGTTTCTTGCCTTGCAGAAGCCTGTGATGACCCACCTGTCCTGAGGAGAGGGGGACCCTCCTGCTACCGCATTTCACTGATGATACAAGACCTCAGCGCAAAGCTTCACCACCTTTCCCCCAACACTCGCTTTTCCTTCTCCCATGCCCGTCTCTCCCTGAAATCCTGGACAGGAGGGTAGCCGAAGGCTGTGGGCCGAAGGTCTTGCTGGGAGCTGCCAGGGAGAGGCACCGGGGTGCAGACACATGGCCAGGGGCTCTCACGGGAGGATGCAGGCATGGGCAGCTCCTTGGCTTTGGGCAGCTCTTCAGTACCAGGTCAACCAAGGGGACCAGAGAGGTGCAGGGCAGGAGAGATCTCCTCGGAGGGAGCTGGATGTCAGCGTGGCTTTCCAGCATGGGGACCAGGGACGGCGACACAGCCCTCACTGGACAAAAGCTGTCAGTGCCTGTCCCTGCTCTCTCCCAGGCTGGTGCTGAGCAGGGACAGGAGCTGACAGGAGGGGGTGTGGGATGCCCTTGGGGTAGATGCTCCAGGTAGAGCAGGGACCCAGGCATCCCAGGCTGGGATTTGCATCCCAGTGCTGGTCCCGACTCCCTGCCATGTCCCTTGGAGCATCGCTTCCCTTCCCTGAGCAGTAAAGCAGGATAAGAGCAGTGCTGGCTCCCTCCCAACGAGCGCTTGGCCAACAGATCTTTGCACAAAGCCATGCAAACACCCGCTGAGGCTTCTTGCCCACCATGCCCAACCATCTGGGATGTGAGTGAGGTGAGGCTTGCAGGAAGCGGTGGCAAGACAGGTGGAAGAAAGGCTGGAGGGCTTGTTGGGGATCAGTTTGTTTGTCCAGCTCTCAAAGTTATTCCCTCTCCATGCAAGGCTCTATCAGTAAGTTTAGAAGGACTCCAGCAAGCAGAGCATAGGTGCTTCTCTGGAGGCTTTCACTGCTCCGCAGAGGGGTCAGCCCATGCCAAGAGGTGCTTTGTGGATGAGCACATCCCACGTCCCTGATGATGGGATTGTAGAACCTGGTAGGATCATCTGATCCTTTGGAGGGGCTGTGATGGCCTTTAGGGGTTGCAGTGGCCCTGGGCTCCTGCCAGGTGACAGAGGCATTGGTAACACAGTCCCCCAGATACCCCAAATGGCTTGTTTTCCACCAACATTTAATTCTCCACATCCCCTAATCCTGATGGATCAGTGCCTGGTCCCGTACCCAGGACATCAGGATGGAGAGAGGGTTGCTTTCTCTTGCAGGTCACTTTGGAGGAGGTTCATGTTAAAAAATTTTGCTTGGTACCTGCTGGTCCCTGTCCTTTATAGCCCCCACCTCCCTCCATCCCTCCCTCCCTCCGCAGCGGGTGATGAGGGGAGGATCGCCCACACACGGAGAATGTCAGACCGATGCTGGCAGTTTCCCATCCACGACCACTTGGGCTGGACCATTTTAGGCCATTCCTGTGCATCTGAACTAAAACCACTTTCATTATGAGCAGAAGCGTGAATTCTTATGCAAGTAACACATATGTTTGGCTTTGGTAGCAGTAGAGACTGTTGACTGCCTAGAAATTGGTCCTGCGCTCATCCCAGAGCAGTCTTGTAAGTCCATAGGCTGGGCTTCCCAGCTGGAAACAAAACCACTTTCTTATTTTAAAACTAAATCCTTCTAGCCTGAAGTTCAAAAGCGTAAGCGCAAAGCATTGCCATTGTAGAAACTCTCCCAGACACCACGGCATTACTGGGTGCATCCCTTGCTGCTCAGCCACCCTCACTGCTAGGATGGCAGCTCCTTGGCTGGCAGAAGGGAGCTTGACCACAATCTGGGCAATCCTATGGGTCTGGATCCTCCCCACCCTTCTGCTGTCAGGGGTCAGCCTTCACCCCAACCGCATCTCTTGCTGTATCTGGTTTCAGATGTAACTCAAGTCCTCCTTAGGATGCTTGACCCTATGAAGAAGTCCTTGCAGTAAGCCTCAGCAGTGCAAACTAAGGCATCATTCAGGCTGTAGTCACCCACGTTATTATTTACTGTTTTCCTGCCCCATCTGCCTGTGTAGAGATTATATATAATGTACACTAAATCATGCAATAAAGCCAATTTTGTGTCCAGAACCTAAGACTCATTTTGCAGTGTTTGTTCTTTCAGCTCAATTAAGCGAAGGCTCCTTCCTCTTCCCATCCTCTCCTTTAACCAGCTGGTGCACCCCTCGCTTTAAAACTACGCAGGTGAAAGCAGACAGAAGCTGAATTGGTGGCACCGAAGCAGAAGTGGGGGAGATGGTGATGAACAGGACGGTGATACGACTTGTCAGATGCTGGTCACAGAGCCACGTGGGTCAGTGGCACCCAGCGGGCAAAGGGGATGGGGGTAAGGAGAGGCTGACCCTGAAACGCGCTGCTCTGACTTGCACAGAAACCCAGGATCCAATCTGGCAGTTGAAGCCACCCAAAACACAAGCCCACAACGTTGAGGGGTTGCTTTAAATCTGTACTAAATAATAGCAATAACCCTGGGGTGGAGAGGGCCTTGCTGAGCCCAGGGTCTGGGTTTCCTTGGCTGATGGGGACTTTTTTTCTCCTCTCTTCATCCCTTGCCCTGTCTTTGATGCCCCTCTGCAGCGGTCACCCTGTGTCCCGTGCTGCTCCTCTGACCGTCCCCCAGCACTGGTTGGGCTCACGCATCGGCACTGACCATGGCACAAGCTGGAGATCTGTCCCAGGGCAATGCCAGCCCCACATGGGCACGGCAGACAGAGATGTTCCCCTTGCCCACACCCCACCAGTGACCGTGTCTTCACCATCCTGCCAACACAGAGCTGTCCCTGTTTTGGGATGTTTCTAGTCCCAGTAATTCCAGTTTTGCCTGGGGCTGGAGCTGTGTTTGGACACCAACTGGCCTTCCGTGCCGGGGACCAGAGCTCGCTCCTCCAGCAGAACAAACATCATCAGAAATCTTTACCTGGGGGTGGTTTAACCCTTTTAAAACAGAAGGTTTGAAGCCCTCATGTCACAAGGACAAGCCCACTCCTGCCAACCAGTATGCCCCAGTAAGTAGCCTTCCTATCTTCTCTGTATCTAATTTTCTGGTTTTGGAGGGGGTTGAAGGAGAAAGGGTAGTGGCACCCAGAATAAATCCTGTGGTGGAGCAGGTTTGTGGCAGCAGGACCGCGGTGTTCAAGGCAGCATCACCCACTGACCTCCCGCAGTGGGTGTTGGGTGAGGGGCTCCCCGTGGGCACGGTGATGGAGCAGAAAACTTCCCCTTGTCCGAAATCACAGGGATTAATGTATTCCCAAGCTATCTGCCTCAGCTAGCGGAGGATAAAATGCTGGTCCCTTCTGAGTCATGAAAATCCCTGTGCTGATTTGATGAGAGGGGACAGCGGGGAGGGGAGATGCCCCAGCTCGGTCCCTGCCGGGGCTCATCTCTGACATCAGCACAAAACCGGCCATAAAAACGGCAACCGGAGGGGACTCTGGCTCAGACGAGGGCCGCTCGGCTCAGCGGGACGGCGGCCAGGCACCTCGCTTTGCCACGCCACAGTAAGTACAGCCCCGGCACGGGGAAGTCCAGCCTTTCTCTCCCTCTCGTGATGCTTTCGTTGCCAGATAATTTCCCGAGAGCTGCTTTGCCACTCTGTGTGTGTGTCTGTGTGTGTCCTTGTGTCTGTCCAGCCGGCTGGGGGGCAGTTCCAAAAGGGAATTGTAAAAAGGCAGCGGCCACAGCCAACCTGAGCTCTCAGGAGCTCCTGCCCAGCACGCTGCAAACTTCTCCTTTGCAAAAGTCCCTGGAAATAAAGCTGCTGCTGCATCCCTGCCGTGTCCTGCTTAACCCAGCGCTCTCGTTTCTGCCCCTTGCCCTGCTCCCTCATTGCAGGTGGCTGCAGAGATCAAACCCACCATTCAGCCCACCCTGCATGCTCCTGCTCATCGCCTCGGTGCCATAAAGTGTGTTACAGGGTGCTCCCGGGTTATCATTTCGGCAACCGGGTCCAGGGGTGGGTGCCAAGGGTGCAGAGATGGTCATGATCCATCCAGCATCCAGCAGCAAAACCGATTTGTGCCTTGCAGCCTTTGCTTGGTGCTGCCAGCCCTGCGTTTTGGTGGCGGTCCCTCTCCCCATCTCTTGGGCTGCAGGGTCCCACGGGTGCACCGGGGGTGCCGGAGAGAAAGAACAGTGCCAAGCCTGGCCTAAGGTGCTAGGCTAGGGCAAAAACTTGTTTTAATGAACATGAAGTTTGTACAACTCATGTTTGTAGAGGATATTTTCCCTGGCGGTATCAGGCCCAGCAAAACCCCTGGGTTTTGATCGAGCTGGCCTGAGCCCTTTGCATCGCTGCCAGCCCGGGGATGCTGTGACGG